TCACAATGTATCCCCCCCAAAAACAAAGGCTGGCCCTCCTCACCCTTATAGATGACATCACACGCCATCATTAAGCCCTCAACCAACGAAGACCAACTCTTATTATCTAGAGTTGGCATCACATCTCCCAATCATCCCACACCCAACAAAGACCAAACCTCCCCACCCTCAGAGATGACATCACATGACCCCCAATATTCCCCGATTACCTTCAGAGATGGCGTTGACATTCTCCAGGGCGCTCTGGGCCGATTTGAACGGAAAGAATGCCACCAGCTTCACTATGGTGTTGAACTTGCCGATATTCTGCAGAGACTGCTCCACCTGAGATCAGAAGGGGGCCAATCAGACGACAAGATCAACAAGACTTCGTTATGGTTCATTCCCAACCAAACCCCCAACTACGTGACCTCAGATCAGACGTCACCCGGACCAAAGCAGAGTCCATGGTGGTGACGGTCTGCCGGGTACGGCTCAACCACCATCAATAGCATCATCCCTGGTGGACAGATAGACAACTCACCTGGGGCATCAGCATGCCGATCTCCTCCACCTCCTTCACCCCGAACAGGGCGTACCCTGCCGCATGTTCGAACAACACGTGGAGCAAAACCTGCAAGACATGGGGAACAAAGTCAGAGGACCCGACAGCGATCAAGCCATCCCCACATATACATGGCTGAGGAGAACAAGACCCGAGGACCAGGCCCATCCCCCCATATACATGACTGAGGACAACAAGAATAGAGGACCCGACCCAGATCATCCAACCCATATACATGACTGAGGAGAACATGGGGAGCAAGACCAGAGGACCCGACCCAGATCATCCAAACCATCTGCCCCATATACACGACCAAGGAGAACATAAAAAGGAGGACCTGTCAACGGATATAGATCATCCACCTATTTACATGGAGAGCAGGGCACATGTGATCCAGCCAACCTGCACAGACAGTTCCTACTTTGGTCCCTGCAGGAGTAACGCATGCAGCGCTGACTCACACGGAAGCATCCAGGATGGCCTTGTCCATTATGATCTCTTCCATGGCCTCCAGATTCTACTCACTCAGTGAAATACCAACTGCTCAGCCCCCCAACCCACAGGACAAGACGTGCTCAGCAACCTCAGGTGACATCACACTGATCAGTGGATTGACAGATTTCATGAAACATCATTGCACGTCCCCAATAATCCCATCCCCCCAACAAAGACTGACTCCCCCCCCTCATCTACAGAGAGGAGGAAAGTAGGGTGGGACGTTGACCGTTCCGCCCAATAGGAGGACCATGGTGACCCTTCCCACCCATGTTGAGGTGACCCCATCCTATTCCATCTAATGACACATGTACATTGAGGGAGCAATAAACAGCCTACAAGTGATCCGGCTGGATGAGGAGAACCTGCCAATGAGGATCACACTCCGGTCCCTGCAGGAGCAGCGCCGACTCACCCATGGAGGACCTGGAAGCGTCCAGGATGGCCTGGGCCTTGGCGCTGTCCATTACGATCTCTTCCATGGACTCCAGATTCTCCTCGCTCAGCTCTTTGCGGTTGCCGATCAGCTTGGTCAGCCGGCAGTAGGTGTAGTTGTCGGGAACAATCTTGATGAGCTCGGGGAAGTGATATCCGTACCACTCTCTGCAGGAGAAGAGACTGACATGAGCACCAAACTTACATATCGTGTATAGACAGCAGAGCAAAGCGGGGGTTCTGTCTCCCCGATAACAATACAGTCCAGGCACAGGGCCGAGCTGTGGTGTAGACGGAGACGTTACTCTTCCTCCTCTTTCTATACAGACAGCGGGAGAGGCAACGCTGCCTGTGGTAAGCATCGGGAGGATGTCTATGTACACACTTCTACTACACAGGACAAAGGCCAACCCAGATATAGTGACCACACGCCTGCCTCATGGGAGCCAAACCGACCCATGTACCCCATCCCTGAGGACCAGCACACCCAACCTGCCTTATGGGAGCCATAGCCACCCATGTACCCCATCCCTGAGGACCAGCACACCCAACCTGCCTTATGGGAGCCATAGCCACCCATGTACCCCATCCCTGAGGACCATCACACCCAACCTGCCTTATGGGAGCCAAACCCACCCATGTAACTCATCCCCGAGGACCAGCACACCCAACCTGCCTTATGGGAGCCATAGCCACCCATGTACCCCATCCCCGAGGACCAGCACACCCAACCTTACCCACCGATGTAACCCATCCCCGAGGACCAGCACCCCCAACCTGCCTTATGGGAGCCATAGCCACCCATGTAACTCATCCCCGAGGACCAGCACACCCAACCTGCCTTATGGGAGCCAAACCCACCCATGTACCCCATCCCCGAGGACCAGCACACACCCAACCTGCCTTATGGGAGCCATAGCCACCCATGTACCCCATCCCTGAGGACCAGCACACCCAACCTGCCTTATGGGAGCCATACCCACCCATCCCTGAGGACCAGCACACAGCGACACCTCTGCCTTATGGGAGCCATACCCACCCATGTACCCCATCCCTGAGGACCAGCTCACACCCAATACCCAGATCATCCCCCCATATACACATGACCAAGGAGAACATGGGGACCCAGATGATCCCCCCCCATATACATGACTGAGGAGACCATGACCAGAGGACCCGACCCAGATGATCCAACTCATCCCCCCATATACATGGCTGAGGAGAACAAGACCAGAGTACCCGACCCAGATCATCCAACCCATCCCCCCATATACATGGCTGAGGACAACAAGACCAGAGGACCCGACCCAGACCATCCAACCCATATACATGGCTGAGGACAACAAGACCAGAGGACCCGACCCAGATCATCCAACCCATATACATGAATGAGGAGAACACTGATACAGAACATGCAGAGCAGGGCACACACGTGGTCTGGCCCGATCTACACAGACACGTGGTTGGCGGTAACACGTGACTATCGGGGCAAAAAAGGCCCAGGCCCGCGCATGCAAACACATTAAGCCACCGGAGGACATCAGGCCGCGTCGCCCCTCTGCTATCACCGCTGCCCACATGGCCTCCGAGCCTTCCCTTTCACCCACCATGGTTCTCAGCTCCGTCGTGCTCCCGCGCCGCAAACAGACTGAGCTTCGCCCTCCACACCTCCTCACCACCCCTCACTGAGCCCGCCCACGTCTACCCGCTCCGCCAATCACCTCCGGGATCCGCCCTGAGCGACAATGGTTTCCTCCAACCACTCCGAACCCTTTCTTCTACTAGTAACCGCCTCCTCCGCACCGTCTGGCCAATCGGCCACCGGCACCTCAGCCCCCGCCTTCTTTGGCGCTAACGCCAATAGAAAAGAGCCCCCCGGGGGGGGGTGGGGGGGGGGCGCACCGTTCTGGCTCTCTATGGTAAGTTGGAGGACCCGGGCTGGGGGCCATGCTTGTAAAGAACACGTGTGAAATTTCCGGTTTCCGGTCCCCACTACCCCTAGTCATGTATTTGATGCAAAGGCCAGAATACATTATTATTATACAGGATTTATATAGTGCCAAAGTAATGTATGTGTGCGCATGCGTTATTGTGCGTTGCATCTGTTCATTTGGAAATGGCTTCTGAGGCACTGCCATCAGATGCAATGCCTTGCCATGAGCGTCAACCCATAATGAATGGCTACGCAGTGCAATGGCGTGCAAAATGCACATTAACGCACAATGGTTGAAGTGTTAGGAGCTATGATAGAGCAGATTAAACCTTTCCGGGAGAAAATGTTTCTCTCCCGGGCGGCCGGGAGCCGCTATCTAATAGCGGGAGACTCCCGGAGCTTCCGGGAGAGTTGAGATGTCTGCATTGGCCAATGAAAAGCCGCCCAGCACTTCCTCCAAGGAGACCCTTCATTTGTTCCTCCAAGGAGGCCCTTCATTTGTTCCTCCAAGGAGGCCCTTCATTTGTTCCTCCAAGGAGACCCATCATTTGTTCCTCCACGGAGGCCCATCATTTGTTCCTCCAAGGAGGCCCATCATTTGTTCCTCCAAGGAGGCCCATCATTTGTTCCTCCAAGGAGGCCCATCATTTGTTCCTCCAAGGAGGCCCATCATTTGTTCCTCCAAGGAGACCCATCATTTGTTCCTCCAAGGAGACCCATCATTTGTTCCTCCAAGGAGGCCCATCATTTGTTCCTCCAAGGAGGCCCATCATTTTGTTTGAATGTTGTAGGCCCAAATCTAAGACTCCATTAAAACCCAGATCAACCAACCAATCCCCCCCCCATATACTTCAATGAGGAGAACATGGGGAGCAAGACCAAGGGACCTGACCCAGATCCGTGGGGGGGAACTTTTGGCATTACGTTCAGATACAACTTTTTGTCTCCTCTCTCCCGAAAACCACTTAGTTCCCAGGACGGTCTTCACCCCTCTTCTCTCTCTGGATGCGCGCCCTCGTCGTGGAGTTTCTCGGCTTCATCGGCCTCTTCTCCAGTTGCGGACGTCCCTTCCTCCAGTCTATTTGGCTCTTTGGGAGAGAGATTTCTCCACCATCTGGCCGATAAGATTCACTTCACTCCATAAGATCTTCACTCCACAACTTCTACTAGTGATCAGATCGCGGAATCCGCCTACAAATGGTTCTCTCCCCCGTACACATGAGCGCTCTGTATCGTCCACGGCCTCGTCTTCCTGTAGGGGGAGGGGGGGCTCGAGTTGTCTGGCCTCTTTTTCCGCACTTGTGGTGGTTTTGTTGGGAATTTTGCTCTCGTCTCATTTATCACATGAAGGTCATCGCGGATATATCTGTCCCGGTGGATCCATGGGTTTGGCTTCTCATGTCAGAGAAGACGTTGGTTCCGCCCCTCCTCAATGCGGCCAAACTGGTCGTCCTCGTATTTTGGCGTTCTCCAAGAACTCCACCCACCAAGGAACGGTTTCCTGAAATTGAGAACTTGAGGTTGATGGAGGAACCGACCGATCTCTCTCCAGAAAATACTGCTAAATCTGGCACCGGGGGATCAGCCTTAAAGGTACCCCTCTTTATATGCACATAGCTGGGTGTCCTTCCTTCATACTTCACATATGCCGATACTCTCTTCAGTGTTTGAATCGGGTCGCTCCTCCTCCTTTTCCTTTTCTGTCTCCTTCTGACTGGCTTGCTTCCTTTCCTTATCTGTAGGGATGCACTGATACCGTTGTTTCAGTATCGAGTACCGATATTTTTTTGGGGTACTCGCCGATACCGAATACCGATATCGGCATCCGTGGGCCCTTATTATCAGGAAGCCGGGCGGCGGGTCATGACTCGCCACACTGGATTCCTGATTTCCCGGGAAGCCGGTGTTCTATCAAAAGAACACCGGCTTTACGTTCCCGGGCAGCCTGTCTTCCTGACCAATCAGGAGGTCGGGCAGCACATCATGACCCGCCTCCCGGCTTCCTGATTGGTCAACATGCCAGGCTGCCTAGCAACAAGTAAACTCGGCTTCCTAGGCAATCAGGATGTCGGGTGGCGTGTCATGACCTGCCTCCTTGGTTTCTGATTAGCCAGGAGGCCGGGGGTTCTATCGAAAGAACAGCGGCTTCACATTCCCATGCACGCTGGCTTCATGACCAATCAGGAAGCCAGGTTGCCTAGCAATAAATGAAGCTGGCTTCCTAGCCAATCAGGAAGCTGGGAGGATAGTCATCACCCTCCACCCAGCTTCCTCCATGTTCCCTCACGGCACTGCCGGTGAGATCGACACCTTCCTTTGACCGGCAGTTCCCGTACTGGGGTAAGTATCGGAAGATTTGGGGCGAGGATCGGTATTGGTGCATCTCTACTCTACGTTTGGATCCTGTGTACCGGGTTTTCCTCAACTTTACCATGGCTGTGATGTTACTGCACCTTATGCTCTGATCCCTACTTCTGTGATGTACCATCCACTTTTTTGGTCTTGCCCGTGGTTGTTACTTTGTTTAAAATTTGTTAAAAAAAAAAAAAAATGCCCATTACCGCAAACCTGTGATTGGGCCCTCAGTCACCGGAGAACATTCACTGAAGGTGAATCCTCAGTCATGTGCTATACATGATGGA